GGATGGCCTTGATGCTACAATGCTAATTTATTATCTAGGAAAAAGGTTGAAAAAAATAAGGATGCGGAGAAAGGAGATTTTTCTTCTTTTTTTTTCTATTAAAAAATGTAAGTTCTATATCGTGTTTTATAGTGAAGGAGAGGGCAGAAGCGTTTGAATGTTTTAGGAGTCACACAGTTGTTGAAAGTCTGCAAGGGAACAGATCAGTACCAGAAAGAAACTTTTTTGTATAATAGTAGAATAGGGTTGGATTGATTAAGTATTCATCACTGAACAACCCACCACTAGACAAAATTATGATAGTCGCAGCATACTTAGTTATTTATATTTAAGGGGCCACAACCTGCATGGCTTTCATGACCAAGGTAACCCAATAATGTAATTACTGCAGGCATCCAAACATACTCCCAAAATCAAATTCACTCCATAAGAAATGGAATTTGAAGGTTAAAGCAGTTTACAGACTTATAAATCTGTGGGTTGTGTTCTTTCAGACTTAGACTGGGAATTGATTTTAGCCATGAGCATACAGTATGTATTGCATAAAAACAAACTGTGTTATAGTTATTTCCGTCATAACAGGAAGGCATGTTATCAATAATAATAATAGATATATTGCTGACAGAAATAATATAAAATGGCCCAAACATAAAATGTAAAATTGTGAAAAAATGTGATGCCAAAATATTATTTATGTGTTCTGCATGCTAAGCATATGCATTTACTGTAAAGTTATTATCTTTAAAAATAAACCACCTCATTTTGAGCATGATAAAATTGTGATTGCTTGCATTTCAGTCTGTTCAGAATATTGATGGCACAACATCTATGAGTGGCAACAATTGAAACATTTTTCTGATATCGGAAATATGGAATACCTGTCTGTGAGAATAGAGACTATTTATCTTCTTCCATTCATAGAGAACAGCTTCCTGTCGACACTAAAGACACTGTAACACTGAACGATCCAATTGATTACCAATATCATAAACAGGCTTTCAAGGATTGTCATGGTTATGAACTAGTATTATCGTTAGGGATGTAAACACTTAGATGCTTAGTTAAAAGTTGTTTTAACCTTTTCAGTGGATGGCTCTGATGTGAACTTTAAACATTTTGATACTCAAAAATGGGGAATGTGAAAGAGAAGTATCAATAAAATGGAACGCAACAAAGCAATGAAACATTATCTTGTGAAAGAAGTGTGCTGATACATATATAGTAACATAATAATGAACAGGTTTACTCAACTGTTTGTTTTCTTTACGATATGAAAGCCCTTTACAGATGTTCCCATAGCTTTAATTTGTGTAGCACCCGAGCAGACAGTCAAAGAATGCCAATTCAGTAGATGCAGATGGGACGGTAATTATTTGAAAATATAGCTCACTAGTGAGAAGACAGCTCAGGTTATTCCCTTTTCATCTCTGCAACCCAGGAGACAAGATTCTTTATTGGGATTCAACATCAAGCTCTGCAGTTAGAGCAAGCTCCTCAATAAACTGTTTAGAGGAGGGGGAATGTGAGAGACCTTTCGTTATCTTGTGCAAGAGCCTCATTTACTAACCAGCCACCTCTGGGAGACCTGGTGGTCCCTGTGAACAGACACTTCACACCTTGCAAGAACCTAATTGGCACATGGCTGACTGTAGATAAAAAAGAATTGCAAATATATGAATGTATGGTTAACTTTCCTTCAATTCAACACATGTAACACCCTTTCAACTGTGTTACAGTGCAACCTGACAGACTACTTTAGTTGCAGCCCCTAGCCAAATTCTTTTAGTTTTGAGTAGATCTGGAATGAGTTTTGGAATGCATTTATTTTATCTGTATTGAAGCATTTGTATGTACCATTTATTTCTGGGTGTGTGTGATTTCACTGTCTATTCTGCTCAGTTTGTTATTATCCAATGTACATTCTGCAAGTGATACTAAAAAAAACAAGTCAGGCCTGTGATATGGGGATAGTAGGTAAATAAATTATTGCTGCACAGTTCAGTGCACTACTCTCTAGAGTCTAACCCAGCTCGTTTCCTTTAAACAGACTGAAAGGTTATTTCTTTAATGGAGGCACAATGGAAATGTATGTTTGCATGATAAAATGACTTCAAAAGATGAAAAAAAAAATAGAGCACACCCAATTGTATGTTAAGAAAGTCAGGAATGAAATAGAAAGTTAGCTTTATAAAGTTAGTCCCTTTATATCGTGCCAGTGGAGCACACCTCCCACTGCACTCCCCACTCCGCTGCACGTGGGAGTGCACTGCTACAGCACCGGAGGCTCGGCAGGTTCGCTATTTAAGAGAATGTGGACAGTGTTCAAGCCCGGAATTATTATTTTTCCCTTTAGTGGAAAAACTCGTCTTTGTACACAGCGGAAAAGACTTGCCCTACAATACGACAACACACTGGCACACCGCTCCCTCCCTGGCTAAGGAGAAGCAAAGCTCGGCCGGCGCTCAGGCAGTCCTCGCAAAACCCTCACTATTGCAATTGTTTTTTTGTGGCTTTGCTTTTCAATGGTTCCATATGATAGGGGTTTCCTCATCTCAAAGGAATCCGTTCAAAGCAGAGGGCAGTGGAAATAAACAAAGCCCAAACAAATAAACTTGTGCTCAACTCAGCTGTTTACCAGTCACTGGATCCCTGCTTGTGTAATATTCTGGCAGTCTGGACTGGTTTTAATACAGCACCTCAGAGAGAAATCAGCAACAGCTGAGATATCTTGAGTGTACTCACTGTACAGTGATCTGCCAGCCATACACCAGGCAATTGCATCTATGTTGTGGGCAGTATAAGCAATACAAATGTGTGACCTGATTGATAATAACAATAAATCATCTGTCTGGCACATTCCATTATTCATTGGGTTCACAAGCTCAGAAGCATTTTACCTTCATATGAATAACATTATTTACCCTCTATCAACTGCCCCCCAACATACATACAGTACTGTACTCCCCTGCCAGCTCTGCTCTGCCTTCTGTTTCTCTACTGAAAGAGTGCAGCCCTTGGGTCTCATGGCTGCTCAGTGTTTTTTTTTCCTGTATCGCTCCTTCATTCTTGTTTGGTAATACTGTAAGAACATAAAAAAGTTACCAATGAGAAATGGCCATTCGTCCCATCAAGCCTGCTTAATTCTTATTAGCTAATTGATCTAAGTATTTCATCCAGCCGTTTTCTGAAAAAGCCAGAATATTGTCCTCAACATGGCTAGGTAGCTTCTTCCATCTTCCCACAACCCCCTGTTCTCAGTTTTAAATCTACTTCAATGTCGTTTTCACTTGTGCCCTCTGAGCTACTTACCTTACACATCATATTTCCACAGATCACCAGAGAATGTACTGTATTTTAGGTTAATATTGTAGAAAATACTGTACATAATGCTTCATGGCCTTTCTATGTGATGGCAGTGTATCTTTATCTGCTTTAATAATGATGTGGTCTGTAGATTTGGACCTCTGAAGAATGAAACCATAATTATTGGTGCATAGATCTGTAGGGGCTTATCCATATATATGAAAAGGACTGTAGTATATACAAGACTTTTATGTGTGAAGTAAAATATAGAACACACATAAATATCATGTTTCTTTTTATTACAAACGAAGAAGTGTGTTGCCTTTTTCTTAAATCTCTCCTTATCTGCATTATAAAGAGTAAAAGATTGTTCTTCCATGCCTCAGTTGGTTCAGCCAAACCAATACTTTTCCCATTTTTTTAGCAGACAGTTGCTTCTCTGCCTGAAGTAAGATTGACATTAGCACACAAACACACCACTGTATTGATTGCTGTTTGCTTTTTGCCGTAAGAAATGGTGTGTGTAGAGTAGCTAGGGACCAATAGTGCGGATTACAACAGATGTGGAGCAATTTCACTAGACATGTTTTTGATAAGCTCTGCACCCTGTCCAGAGTGCCCAAGCCTTTCAGCTCAATCAGGGCTGATGTCTTACAGTCTTGTAGTCTGATGCAACTCTTAAAACGAGCATTATAACGACCACATATACTGTATGTGTACATATATTGTGAAACATACTGTAGCTGTCCTTTTAATTTACTACAGTATGTCAATACTATGTCATGTTTTAGTTTTTCCGTAATTCTTAACAGTGCATGTACAGTATATATAAAATGCATCTTAAAGACTGTGATGCTCATTCTACTGTTCTTTAATTAATTTCTAACTCTTCTTGATAAAACATACATATGCATTAGTATGATGGTAGTTTTAAGCCTTCTAATTTTTATGGGAAATTGTGTTGGAATAATTGTGGAATAAGCAGTTGAGTCCTGAGGAGATTAAATCTTTGTATTGGAATTAAATCTAATTAAAGCTGTAGCAGGCAGTGCTGTTTTCTCTTCAGTGAGCACTATTTACTAGCCTTGCCAACAAATGTAATCATTAAATGAGACATCTTTTGTGTATTTTTTTCAGAGAAAATGCTTTGATACCTTGTATTTTTAACTTTACCAATTCCACTTCTGTGTACCAGTATTTATGGTGAACATGCTGTTGATATAAACTTTGAATATATACTGTACAGTAAAAACGGGCTCCAATGTGACAAAATCTGTATGCAAAGTAGAATGCAGGATACATTTGCATTTGGGAACCCCTTTACTCCCTCACACCTTTTTCTGCCTTTGAGACCTTTTTAGAAAATTAGAGAGAATTTCTGCAAGTCATGAATGCTTCTCTGTCAGTCAGTCATAGACATGCACTGGACCACAGGCTAAGCTGATGCCTGTGTTAACCTTATGTCAAAACCATTTTGGCACAGAAGTTCTGTCCAAACAAGCAGGACAACGTGAATTAAAACTGCTAGTGTAAGAAGAAGGGGCCTGTCAAAATTCTTCAAATTCAAGCGCATTGTACATCACACGTTCCCAATTCGGAGACAGTACAAAATAAAAAGAGTCACACACAGTAGCAGGTCAGCTTTCAGAATCATTCAGAATCCAAAAGCCAATTTCCTCTCTCTGTTTCCTCACCAGCCTTATTTCTTCGAGGCGTTACTACTTTGAGGTTCTACATAAACAAGACGACAAGGGCTCAGATCATGTTGAGGTTGGGGTAAGTAGTTCTAGTTCCATATCTACATCCCCAGCTATAATTAATGTCAATGTCAAAAAAGAGAATAACGTTTTCAAAGCTGGGAAAACTAAAGAAAATAAACATTGACTTCCATCAGCAAGCTGTCAATCATTTTTCTTTTAATAAATGCTATTCATATTCATTTTCTTTGCACTACATTTCTATATCTTGAAAAGTTAATTTCCTGTTTGATCTAATCCTTCGTTGAGGGGTTCATTAATCTTGTTGTTTTTTTCTGAGCAAAACAAAGGAAACCCGAATGCTTTGTTCTTCATGTATTCAGGGAGACATTAACAAACACAGAACATTTTGGAATAAAGAGAATAATGGCAAGGAAACTGGATCATGAGAAATGTAATGTTACATCTCTCATCATCTTACAAATATATGTATTTAAAAGTACATTTCCCAGTAAATATAATCTAAGTATTATTTTTCAGAACTCTACATTGATAGGTAAGGCTTCAGCTTCATTTGTTATAGTGTTTTAAATAACGTTTTTTTCACTCTTTCTGAGTGAAGCTAAGCTATGCTACAACACTTTAGATACTACAGCAAATTGTTGCTTGAGGCCTTGAACTCTTCTACACAGTATGTGGGAAGAGGTTATCTTCACGAGTTTGAAGAAATATGTATTTTCTGTCATTATAAAAGATCTTGCCTTGTGTGATGAAGTATATTGCCATTTCAGCTGCAAGTTTCAATATTCGGAATAACAAAATGTATAACTGTAACCTTTTGCGTCATATTTAAAACTATCAATGAGGTGTCATTCATATAACATTGTGTACTTGAAAAGTGTATTTTTGATCCTGTTGTCATCTCTTCCTTTCTCCTTTTAGACAGGACATGTGAAGTGTAAATTAGAACATAAAAATAGTTACAAATGGCTATTTGGCCCATCTAGCTTATTTGCTAGTAATGAATTGATCCAGGGATCTCATCCAGCTGTTTCTCGAAAGAAGCCAGAGTTTTGGCTTCAACAATATGGCAGGGTAGCTTGTTCCATACTCTCCTACCACTTTTGTTCAGGTAGCCTTGTCCAAAACAAGGTTTCCTCAGGCTTTTGAACTGGAATATGATGTTCTGATCCACATTGTGCTAGGCAATCATCAAGGTAGTTATTGTGTTCTTCTGCGAACAGATTTAAACTGTTTCTTGCTTCACAAAATAAGTCTTCAGACAGGTGCTGGGTGCAGACACCAGCCAATTAAGTCTTCCAAATAGACAAGTGAAAAAAACATCATATAAGGTATTAGCGTGGGCATGGGAAAGCTATTAACAATTTCTTATTTGGCCGTTTTTCAGAGTTTGGCTGTTTTCAGAGACTGCATTTGAAATCTAAATTTAAAACGCAAAGCTAAATGATGTGAAAAACATCTTTTTGCCTGCTGGGTTTTAGTACCTTATGGTCTTCTTCCAATTAATGATAACACATTTTATTACCAGATGAAAGCTTTACATAGTTACAGAACTTCAGCACCTGTCTTCTTATGCGTTACTGGAAGTAAAAAGTAATGACCTTGTGGTTGAGAGTGCCATAGTTAACTCAGTTCTATCGTTCTGACTGTCATGTGTTTAAAAAAGCAACATGATCTTACTGGTAGAACAACATACATTTAGAGCAACAGCACTACACTGACAAAGCTTCCTTGTAACTCTGTAGGTGTTTTAAAAAGCATTTTGTGATTTTCTTTCATCTTATGCAGCAAACGAACATAAACATTTAAAAACTAAAGGCCATTCAGCTTGTTTGCTAGTGGTTTAATGACTCAGCAATTCCATCTGTTTCTTCTAGGATCCTGTGGACTAGTTTCAATCACCAGGGTCAATGCTAGGGAAAGATTCATTTAGAATCCCACAATTCCTTGAAAGGAAACCACTCCTGTTTGTGTAAATTCTCCTAAATGTAATGACCTCTTGTGTCCTTGGGTCTTTGTATTAATTCTGATCTTGAAGATGACATTTGAGCTGATTTGACCAAAGCCTTTTGGGATTTTGAATACCAGACTCAAGTCATTATGTAATCTTCCAAACAACTAGCAAGGTTTTTAACCATCTGCACTATAGTGCAAATCATTTTCACTGTCCCCAAAGCTTGCTTCCAGGCGTAGAAATTGCATCTTATCGATCCAGACATTCATTGGTCATTTCAGGTATAAGGGTAATGACAGTTTGAAAATGTCATTCTCACATCAATAAGGCAAGAATAGTCTCACTTTTTACTTGCTGACCTTAATGCAGAACAGGAGACTGTAAAAAGCTCTGCTATTGTCAGGTGCCAAAACCAAAACCCATTTAAGAGTCAGGCAGTCAAAAGTATTCCCGAACCAGAAGCAATGAAATAAAAATTGAAAACTTTAACAGAACATAAATTAATAAACTAGCAGTCAAAAAGATGTGGAGGGATTTAAATAAAAGATAAAGAATTTCCTCTTGACTCTGAATTACAGCCCCAGGTTAGCTCCTGAGATTTTCTTACCTCTTCTTCTTTCTTCAGCGGATCATGCACCGGCATCTGCGTATTAAAAAACAAGCGAAGCAGAAGTATCAAATGATGTACTGTACTATGTACAGGGTATGTGCATTTGTGATTGTTTGTTTTAGGGTATATTTAGACACAGAAGTTAAGCCTGCTTTGTGTTTTCAGAAGCACCTTGTTGCCATGGTAGTTTTGAAACAGAACTAAGGATTTGAATGGTGGCACTCTAGAAACCTAGGCACCTTTTATCAGAGTACCTTTCTTCCTCCAGGCAAGCTGTGGGGAGCAGAGACTATTTTACCTCACCCTTGAGGCTTTTTGAATTGGTAGTAGCAGAGAAACACTAATCTCAAGTGTTGTTCTTGAAGAGGAAGCTTTTAAGGAAGGCCCTGCTGCCTTGTGTTTATCTTTCATTAAAAAATAATTTAACTCCCCCCATTTTAAGGCAGTTAAAATGGATCTACCACAGTACTTTATTCTCATCAAATAGGAAATATTAAAATGTAAATTTTATTATTTTTTAAAAGCTCCCTGGTGTGCAGGAGTATCAGCTGAAGGCAAATATTGAGATATCTTGAAATAGAAAGTCAATATTATCTCTATAATGTGACCCACTGTTGTGTGCACTGTGTGTGTGAAATACTAACAAACCAAACAACACTCATCTGAAGTTATTAGCGCATAAACATTATTTTACTCTGTTTACTTTTCCCTGTTTTCTTGACCATGTACTATGATGCTGCATTTATCTCTCTTGACAATTCATGGTCCATGATCTCCACTGACTGAATGCATTAGAAACCAACGGTGCTTTAGTCTGCCTTGAAACTAAAGTTGTCATGTGGGCCAGACAGCTCTCTCATAATATAAAAAAGGTGTTATTTCCAGGACATGCATACTTTGCAGTTCCACAAACCTGCCTCTGTTGCCCCCAGCTGATTGACATTACATAGAAATAGCCTCACTCCACCCTTTAATCATTAGAATATAAGAATGGTTACAAATGACAGGAGGCTTTTTAGCCCATCTAGGCCATTTAGTAGTTAGAAGTTAATTGATCTAACGATCTCATCCAGGCATTTATTGAAAGAAACCATTTTATTGGCTCAACAAATTGGCTGGGTAGCTTGTATCATAGTCCTACAACTCTCTGGGTTAAGAAGTACACCGAATGAGAATACCATATATACTGTATACCAACAGATACCTTTCCAGTGCTATTAGGGGTATTTTCTGTACCTATTACATAGTATGCTTTGCACTAAATTGTATTTTTACATGAACCAAAATTACGTGAAAATGGTCTTTGTCAAATTGACATAGCTGTGAAGGTGCAGACATATTATTCAGTTGTTGTCACGTTTGCAGACATCTGTCAACAGCAGCTCTTCTCATGCGTTAAAAAATGACGCCTACACCTGGAGAAAAACACACACACACATTCCACGGATGTGTTCTATCATGGAATGAAAAGATCATTCACAGCTAAAGATGCAGGGAGAGAGTGTTAAGATTCAGCATTTCCAAACTGCCAGCTTGTGAAGAAATAATTAAAAAAAAAAACTCCAATCACACTTGACTGATTTTCAGAGATCTAGCTATCCGGTATTAACACATTTACTTTTAATGGGCTATTTTATTACTCCCTGTCCTGTTTGCAAGAAACAGTCCTGCCAAGCAGCACCACCTGCATCAGCTTGGTGTGAGTTCCTGAGCTCTGCAGGGACAGTAGTTAGCCATGTTGTTTTGCACGTGTTATTTTTAAAGTGCACAAACACTGATTTATATTAAAAGGGCTTTGCAGTCCTTACTATAAGAAAGAGGGTAACACAGCTGAGAGAAAAGGTTTTCACATACTGGATTTAAATTTTAATTTGATGTTTGTCAGATATTTAAGGTTGTTTATTCAATTGAAAGTGTACGTTAAAGCGTACGTTTACTTTTCCCCTGCCATAAATAAATTCAGCTACTGTACTGTAAAAGTAATATTTTAAGGTGTAAAATACTAAGGGGCAGGGGTGTAAAATATTGGTCTTTTTCTAGGCTCGACACCCAACAAAATTATGCCAGCCACATAACAAGTTTCAAAACCACCCATCAAAAATAGTTTTTCTTTTTTTACATATTTATGTTGTCATTTTGAGAGAAGTATATCAAGAGTTAAATAAGCTCTTCCTCTCAACCAAAGAAAGGCTTCTCTATAACCTAACTAGTTGAGGTATAGTATACCGTGTGTATTCTCACCTGCTGTGAATCACTTCTAGGGTTTATAACTGGCAATTGATATGTCCATCACATTTACTGTATCTTTATTTCATATTATTTTGATGTTTTATTTAAAGGCTAAGTGGTTTTCCTTGGTATACTTAAGGATAACAGAAAATATTTTACACTGTAGCCTTTCTCTATATACTGTATACTGTATCCTCTATATACTGTACTGTATACACATTGATTTTTTATTAAAATAATCTACCATACTGGAAGCCTTAACAAA